GCCTGTTCTTTCCAGTCTGGCAGTTAGACACACCATTGTTCTGCCATTCTCATACTCTGATCATTTATTCTGCACTATCAACACCCTTTCTCCCCCAAGGACTCCACCCTCAAAGAGCCCCCCCTCCCAAACCCCACTATCGCATAAATGCTGTCCCCTCCATACTTCACGTCAGCTCTGATGAAGAGTTATCTGGACTTGAAATGTTAGCAAATGTCCAGCAACCACCTAGAAACCGATATCCATTTCAAGCCCACCGACTCCCACAGCTACCTAGAATACTCCTCCTCCCACCCACCTTCCTGCAAAAATGCCATCCCGTATTCCCAATTCCTTCACCTCCGCCGCATCTGTTCCCAGGATGAGGCATTCCACTCCCGTACATCTCAGATGTCCTCGTTTTTCAAGGACCGCAACTTCCCCCCATCAGTGGTCGAGAACGCCCTCGACCGTGTCTCCAGCATTTCCCGCAACTCATCCTTCACACCCCCTCCCCGCAATAACGACCAAAACAGAATCCCCCTCGTCCTCACGTACCACCCCACCAACCTCCGGATCCAACGCATCATCCTCCGACACTTCCGCCATCTGCAATCCGACCCCATCACCAAAGACATTTTTCCCTCCCCACCCTTATCTGCATTCTGAGGGACCACTCTCTCCGTGACTCCCTTGTCCGCTCCACACTCCCCTCCAGCCCCACCACACCCGGCACTTTTCCCTGCAACCGCAGGAAGTGCTACACCTGCCCCCATATCTCCTCCCTCACCTCCATCCCAGGCCCCAAGAAGACTTTCCACATCAAGCAGATGTTCACCTGCACATCTGTTAATGTGGTATACTGCATCCGCTGTTCCCGTTGTGGCCTCGACATCGGGGAAACCAAGCGGAGGCTTGGGGACTGCTTTGCAGAACACCTACGCTCGGTTCGCAACAAACAACTGCACCTCCCAGTCGCGAACCATTTCAACTCCACCTCCCATTCCGCAGACAACATGTCCATCCTGGGCCTCCTGCAGTGCCACAACGATGCTACCCGAAGGTTACAGGAACAGCAACTCATATTCCGCTTGGGAACCCTGCAGCCCAATGGTATCAATGTGGACTTCACTAGCTTCAAAATCCCCCCTCCCACTACCACATCCCAAAACCAGTCCAGCTCGTCCCCGCCTCCCTAACCCGTCCTTCCTCCCACCTCAAGCCCCAGCCCCATCTCCTACCTACTAACCTCATCCCGCCCCCTTGACCTGTCCGTCCTCCCTGGACTGACCTATCCCCTCCCTAACTCCCCACCTACTCTCACCTTTACTGGCCTGTCTCCTCTCCACCTGTCTTCTCCTTTATCCATTTTCTATCCGCCTTCCCTCTCTCCCTATTTATTTCAGAACCACTTCCCCTCCCCCATTTCTGAAGAAGGGTCTCGGCCTGAAACATCAGCTTTCCTGCTCCTCTGATGCTGCTTGGCCTGCTGTGTTCATCCAGCTCTACACCTTGTTATCCTTGAACTGCACTTGTGATTATTTATATATACACAAAAGATTTTTTTTACATGAAGAAGGTTTAATCTGAGGGTCATGGTAACCACAGCCAGTGGTGGTTGGTGGTTGGTGGTTGGTGGTGGTGGTGGGGGGGGGTGCGGGTGGTAAAGCCAAGCTGTAGGTGTCACTCTGGATCACATTCCAGTCAAATGAGCTCACCTTTCCCTCCTGTGCTGTAAGTTAGCAGGACATTGAGTACGGAGGGGCTTCACTTCAGGGAGTACGGGGTGGGGGAAGTGGGTGGAAAGTTTACAGTCTGTGCATCTCTTAATCACGAAACACACGCAACAGAGAGAAAAGAAGCTGAAGGAAATCTGCAACAAACGCAGAAAGTGCTGGAGGAGCTCAGCATGTCACTGTTTTGTTACAGATTCGCTTTGATTTGTCGGCAATTCTCCCTTCAAATGTTACAGTGAAAACAAGTTTTTGCCTGAAACTGCACAGAGACTGAAGCGTCCGCGGCTCAGCCTCCTGGCAGCGAGGGACCTGCTTACCTGATAAGGGTGCAAGTTACTCCAGATATGTGGCAGCGTGCTGTTGTGTCGCTCGGAAACATTAGCAACAAGCCCCGGGAGGGTCACCCCTGAAACTGCACTTGCCATGGCTCCCGGTGCCGGCCTTACCGCAGCTCCTTCTCCTACCAGGGGTTGGGAGGATGCACCTAGTCACCGCACACCATCTCTCCCCGCCTGCAACCTGCTCCTTGCCGTGTTTCCAACCCCCCCCCGGTACTTCCTGATCGCTTCAGGATATTGGAGAGAGAGAGAGAGGGATGACAAGGCGGAGCCCTGACACTCAAGGCCATTGACACAAAGACATCCCTTGTGTATTAGCTGCAGGCACTCTTTATTGAAGAAATCAGTACAGAAATAACAGTGTGGAGCTGGAGGAACACAGCAGGCCAACACAGAACAGAAGACGTTTGGAGCCTCAATTTACATTTGCATCTTTTTAATTCACTGAACTTGGAGAAACCTCGCTCTTGAATTAATTTTCAAATAAATTGCGCTGTGCTCTTTTCACTGAAGCAGGAGG